TCCCCGGCAGCACCTCGAGCACCCCGGCCGGGTGAGGGCCTGGGCTGGGCCTGGGTGGCGAGCCGCGCCCTCCCCCGGTCAGCGCACGCCCGCGGTGGTGCCTGGAGGCCGGACCGGTGGCTGCTCTCACGGGCTGCTGCCTGCTCCTATCGCTGCTCCTGCACTGCCCCAGGTCTGCCTGCTGTCCGAGCTCCCGGCCTCTGGCACGGCGGGTGCCGGGGGCTCGGGTCGGGGGTCTGGTCCTGACCCTCCTCGCGGGGATGGTGCTGCAAAGCCGAGGCCCGGCCCGGTCCGTGGCTGGAGCTGCTGGTCCCACCCCAGCACCCACGTCCAGTGGCGGCAGGTGGGGAGTGCGTGCACCAGGAGGGGGGCGCGTGCTCCCACGGGCGCTCTCCCTGGAAGGCTGGGTGTGAACCCCCGGCAGCCCTGGACCCTGCTGCTGGGGGGCTCCGCCCCAGGCTGTGTGCTGAGTCCCCGCTTTGCCCAAAGCACAGAAACCACAGGGTCCTGGTTCCCTTCCCTCCCGTCTTTGTAACTTTCTCCTCTGAACTGAGAAGCCTCAGTTCTCTCGTCCTCGATCGGTGCGACCACAGACGCCCGGGGCTCCCTGCAGCCAGGGCCGCCGCAGACTCCACGCCTCCAACTGCTCGCCTTCAAATGGAGGTTTTTGCCCTGCTGCTGTGGCGGCTGCTGTGGCGGCTGCTGTGGCTCCGTGGTCAGAGCGTCAGCCCGCCGACCCAGGGCCAAGGGTTCGATTTCTGGTCAAGGGCATGTGCCTCGGTTGCAGGTTCCCCAGCCCGGTCGGGGCACGTGCAGGAGGCAACCCATCAATATGTCTCACATCGATGTTTCTCTCTCTGTCTCTCTGCCTCCCTTCCACTCTCTCTAAAAATCAATGGAAAAATATCCTCGGGTGAGGATTAAAAAAGAACAATAAAAACAAATAAAAGTGAGGGTTTTGCATTTTTGTTTTTATCCTTACCCAAGGACGTGCTCATTGGTTTTCAGAGAGAGAGGAAGGGAGAGAGAGAAACATCGATCAGTTATCTCTCGCATGTCCCCGACCGGGTATCGAACCCGCAACCTAGGTATGTGCCATGACTGGGAATCGAACCTGTGACCCTTTGGTGTAAGGGATGGCCCTCCAGCCAGCGGAGCCACCCCGGCCAGGGCTTAGCCACTCGCCTCTAAGCCGAGGTGGCTGTGCTGGCGCCGAGTCCCAGGTGTCCCCTGTGATGTGCGTGTTGCCTGTCATGGGCTCCCAGCAGAGGCCCCGCCCGGGTCTTGAGGTTCCCTGTTGTGAGGCTCATGCTGGAGCCCTTCCTCCCCTTCGCTGCCCCCTCGGCCGCCCTGCCCGGTGCGTTTTGCTTGCGGTTTATGTCTGTCACCGTATGTCCGGCCGCCCTCCTGGGCCGTGGAGCTAGGAGACCCCGGTGGCCCCACGACCGGAGCATTGAGGAGCAGGCCCCACGGCATTCAGCCGCTGACCGCCCTGCGTTCCGCTCGTGGATGAGGTTCGGACGGCACTGGGGAGCGGGGAGCGCACTGATGCTGGTTGTGTCTTGCTTTCCGGACCTTCCAGTGCTGACCTCCCTGCCGGCCCTGGCGGTCCCGCCCTCCCACCCCGCCAAGGCCGTCTCGCCCGCCGTGGTCAACGGGCTGGAGCTGTCGGAGCCGCGGAGCTGGCTGTACCTGGAGGAGATGGTCAACTCCCTGCTCAGCACGGCCCAGCAGCTGAAGACGCTGTTCGAGCAAGCCAAGCAGGCCAGCTCCTACCGCGAGGCCGCCGCGGCCCAGGCCCGGGTGCAGGCGGACGCCGAGCGCAAGGAGGTAACGTGGGGCGCCGAACCGCGGGGGCCACGCCTGTGTGGGGGCCACGCCTGGTGTGGCCAGAGACGAGTCAGAGTCAGGGAACGTGGTGAGCAGCGGGGTCCCGCCCCTTCTCACGCCCAGCGAGGGAGAGGCGGGGAGTGCGTCAGGGCGGGGTGGGGGCGGGCGTGCGGTGTGCTGGGGGTGGCGGCGTGACGGTAACTGAGCTTCCTCACTCAGAGCAAGTGTGCGTGGGGTGTGCAAGCAAAAGTCAGATTGACTTGCTTCCATCAAATTTCCTAAGAAAAAAATTCTATGCAAGAAAACGTTTTCACTTATTTTTACTTCTTAGAGGTCAAAGGATAGAAGAGCTTTTACGGTTTTTAATTTCCTAAATGGCTTCTTAACGTGTGATTAACTGTTTTCCTTTAAAAACGTTTCACTCTCAGTTACAGTGATGATGACGTTACACTGACTCCGGGGGGGCTCAGTGGGTAGGCATTGCTGTACCCCCTCAGGCGTCGCCCCATAAGTCTCGTACCCGCCGGACGCCATGGTGATTAATTTGTCTTCAAGGAAGAAAAACGTTGCTTCTACCCATGAAGAGAGATAATTTTAAAATACTTAAAAAATACCATTCCAGCCCTGGCCGGTCGCCCAGTGGTCAAAGCGTCGGGCTGCACACTGAGGGGTCGCAGGTTTGGTTCCCGTCGAAGGGTCTCGGGTTTGGTTCCGGTCCAGGGCACGGACCTCCGGTGCGGGCTCAGTCCCGGCGCAGAGCCGTGTTCGGGAGGCAGCCGGTCCGTGTGCTTCTCTCCCATCGCGGTTTCTCTCCCTCTCCCGCTCCCTCTGCCCACCTCCCTTCCACTCTATCTACACGGCCCTGGGCGCGGATCACAATATGTGCGTACAGTTCCCACTAATCCCTGCCGAATGCCGAGCTTTAGGGAAAGAGAAAAGCTCAAGGACCAAAAGATTTATAATTATTCACCCAAATAACGTGGGTTCGGCTCTGTGCCCTCAGGCCCCCCGGGTGGTGGGTTTTAAAACGAAAAACCAAGTCTTGGCACCAGTGACCTGCGGATGAGCACTCGCTCTCGGAAGCCACCACCAGCATGTCCCGCAGCGTGAACCCAGCAGCATGGACTCCCCCACAACGTGGACCCCCCCGCAGTGTGGACCCCCCAGCAGCGTGGACCCCCCGCAGCGTGGACCCCCCAGCAGCGTGGACCCCCCAGCAGCGTGGACCCTGTAGCGTGGACCCCCCAGCAGTGTGGACCCAGCAGCGTGGACCCCCCCAGCAGCGTGGACCCAGCAGCGTGGACCCCCCCAGCAGCGTGGACCCCCCAGCAGCGTGGACCCTGCAGCGTGGACCCCCCAGCAGCGTGGACCCCCCAGCAGCGTGGACCCCCCAGCAGCGTGGACCCTGCAGCGTGGACCCCCCAGCAGCGTGGACCCTGCAGCATGTACCCAGCAGCGTGGACCCCCCAGCAGCGTGGACCCTGTAGCGTGGACCCCCCAGCAGCGTGGACCCAGCAGCGTGGACCCCCCAGCAGCGTGGACCCTTGCAGCATGGACCCAGCAAGGTGGACCCCCAGCAGCGTGACCTGTAGCGTGGACCCCCCAGCAGCGTGGACCCTGCAGCGTGGACCCCCCAGCAGCGTGGACCCTGCAGCATGGACCCAGCAGCGTGGACCCCCCAGCAGCGTGGACCCTGTAGCATGGACCCCCCAGCAGCGTGGACCCCCCAGCAGCGTGGACCCAGCAGCGTGGACCCCCCAGCAGCGTGGACCCCCCAGCAGCGTGGACCCTGCAGCGTGGACCCTGCAGTGTGGACCCCGTGGGGCTGAGACTATCAATAACGTGAAAATGGGAGTGGCTGAGCTCCCAGCGGAGAAATGAAACCAAAGTGACAGCCGCTTGGCGCTCGGAGCCGGACCAGGCACCTGCCTCCTCCACGGAGAAATGAAACCAGCCGACCAAACAGAAAGCGAGCTGTGAGCCAGTTGTTTTGTTTCTTTTTACAGCGAAACGCCTTCGGGCAGTGAGTTACATGGTGACCCTTTCTGTGGCAAAGGTGCTTGTAGAGAAAGTACCAGGCCCGGTCCTGGCACCCGTGTGACCCGGCCTGTGCCGGGACCTGCGTCGCCCCCCTTCTGGTCCCCCCTCCTCTGCGCCACCCCCCCCCCCCGCATCATTCCCCCCTGGAGAGCTTACCTGCCCCCACGCTGGGGGATACTGGGGCTTGTCTTCTGGCTGAGGAGCAGGTGCGGCACCTGCAGGGCTGTCCCGTGCGGTCCCGTCGAGCTCTGTCCCCGCTGCCACGCGGTGGCCCCTTTGCCTCCAGTGCGCTGAGCATGTTCCTGCCTCCTCAGCTGACCGGGCGCGGGGCCCCGGGTCTGTGCCTGGGACCTGCTCGGCTCCTTGGCTGTGGCCGCGCTCTGCTTCCTGCGCCTGGTCATTTCCGGCGGTTTGTTGGACGCTGGCGTGTGCGTGGTGGAGACGGTTGGGGTCTGTTCCTTCCCCAGCACTGTCGGGTTGGTCCCGGGAAGCGGTCCGATGCCTGGCAGGTCCTCTCCCGCTTCCTTCGGGTGGTCTGTGCCGTCCCCCCGCCAGACACATCCGGACGCCGGGCCCTACGGGTTTTAGGGGAACCCCTGGCCTCTTGCTGGAGCTGCAGCCCGCGCCCTGTGATTCCTTCTGCCAGGTTGCACCCCCACCTGCTGTTGGGCTTTCCCCTTCACGTCTCTGTGTGTTACGTCCGGGATGTCTGAGAGGGTCTGCCCGACGCAGCGGCTCTGGCCCAGCCAGGACAGGACAGCTTGCTCTCTGCACGGCCTGGGCAGAGGCGCCGAGCCGCCGAGTAACTGATCGCTTACCACTTACCTCCTCCGAGTTAGGTGTTCCTAAGCACTGTCCTAGCCCTAATGTTTAAAATACGTCTTTATTGATTTTTAGAGAGAGAGGAAGGGAGAGGGAGAGCGAGAATAAGAGCGAGTGAGAGAGGGAAAGAGAGAGAGAGAAACATCAATGAGAGGAACACCCATCAGCCGCCTCCTTCGCGCCCCCCACGGGGACCGAGCCCACAACCGGGCGCGTGCCCTGACGGAAATGAACTGTGACCTCCTGGTTCATGGGCCGACGCTCACCACTGAGCCACTGGCGAGGGCTGTGGGGATTATTATTACTTTTTTAATAGGGAACGCTTCACGAATTTGCGTGTCGTCCTTGCGCAGGGGCCGGGCTGATCTCCTCTGTACCGTTCAGTTTTAGTGCATGTGCTGCCGAAGCGAGCCCTGGGGGTTGTTTTAAAGGGCGGCGATGAGGGACCCTGAGGTGCAGGGGACGCTGTGGGGCTGCTCCCTCGTGCTGCATCGGGGCTGCCTGTCCTGCAGGGGAGGGGAGCGGTCCCGGTGCCTCTGGTCCCGGTGCCTCTGCGGCAGGAAAAGGAGGCCCGTGTGCGTGTCTCTGGCTCAGGTTGTGCGGAGGAGCGTGAGTTGGGAAACAGACACTTGGGTCCTTACTCACTAGTAGAATGACCCCGAATTGTTCCCAGCCCCCCTCGCCCAGGCTGCTGAGCGCCGAGTGTGGGGACACTGCCGTTCCCACCTGGGGACGCTGGCCAGACGGACAGAGGGACAGGTGGAGCTCGGGTTTGGGGGCGCCCGCTGTGCTGGGATCTGGACTTGGGGCCGGCGAGGAAACGAAAGGGGAACGCTCTCCACTCCTAGTTCCACATCTTCCTTCCTGCCGCCCCCCAACACTCTCCAGGGGTGAGCGGACACAGATTGCTCCCCCAGGCGGGGTGGGGCGGGAGCAGCTGCTGGGCTCAGCCGCTTCTTCCTAGCGGCCCAGGCCCAGGTGGCCATCGGTCGCCGGCAGGAGGTTGCAGCCCTGCACCCCTGGGGCAGCCAGGCCCCGCCCTGGAAGGCTGGCTCCATGTTTCTCTGAAACCCTCAGCCAGGCGGCTCAGCCTGTGAGGAGGGGTTCAGCCGACCCCCCCGCTGGAGCCCCAGCCTTTGAAATGGCTGGGCTGTCACAGGCCTTTCTCTTGGGCTGTAGATACAACGTGTCCTCTTTTTTAAAAAATATTTTTTTATTGATGTCAGAGAGGAAGGGAGGGGGAGGGAGAGATGGAAGCATCAATGATGAGAGAGAACCATGGACCGGCTGCCTCCTGCACGCCCCAGGGGATCCAGCCCGCACCCCGGGCCTGTGCCCTGACTGGGAATCGAACCGTGACCTCCTGGTTCACAGGTCGAGGCTTAGCCACTGAGCCACGCCGTCCGGGCTACGACGTGTCGTTCTTAGACAACGTATGGACTCGTGGGCACAGTGTGGTGACTGCCGGGGGGGGGGGGTGGGTAGACAAGGATAAAGGGGTGAATATAAATGGTGATGGAGGAGCCTTGACCTGGGCTGGTGAACACACAGGACAATGCACAGGTGATGTCGTGTAGAATTGTTCACCTGAACCCAATGTCGCCCAGGAAATTCAATCAAAAAGAACTATTTTTTATTGCAAGCTGAGCACGGAGGCCCCGAGATGGTAGGTCCTCACCCCTGTCAGGCCGAGCCACCCCGCCCGACACGTGGGCCCAGCGCCTGCCGGTGCACAGACCTGGGCCCGCCCCCCAACGGTCACGCCCATGTGGTGAGAGCGGGCCACCCTCAGCGCCGAGTTCCTGCAAAAGGAAGGCTCTTGGGGGAGACTTCACCCCTTGGAGGCTCCCTCCAGCGGCCTTGGAGGCCTGGGGGCCGTAGCACGAGGGAGAAGGCCCCGCGTCTCTGGAACACGGCGACAGCAGTGACCTGGGGGAAGCGGGCACGGCCAGGCGGGCGAGGACGCACGTGGTTCTCTCTGTGTTCTGCGGTCGGTCGTGCTGAGTGGCCTGTTGGGGGCTTGCGGCGACATGAATGACAGCCAGTCGCGAGTGAATTTCCGTCTCTGGGCCTACACCGTGGAAGGACCGAGGCCGGTTCTGTGCCTTTCACCTGTCATCACAGGCACTTCTGGTTGACGCGACGTTGGAAGGAGTCGGGGTTGGACGGGCAAACCCTGGTGACGAGAGGGAAGCTCGTGAGGAGCCCGCCACACTGTCCTCCGCGAGTCTGGGTGTGCAGACACGGCCGGGACGGGAGGCCACGGGGTCGGAGGGCGAGACCTCGCCCGGCCCCATGACCGACATGACCGAGGGCAGACGCATTGCTGGACGGCCTGCTCCCCGCGGACTGGAACTTAAAAGGGCCCGTTTAGCGCAGCCGGACCACTCCAGAGGTTGTCACAGCGCCGACGTGGCCGCCACATCCATGTGTGTAATCAGCGCAGCCGATGAAACGGGCAGGAGAGCGGTGCCCTTGGCTGGCAGGGCACAGGTCCAGCGTGTGGCCACGTGGCTGGGCCCGCTGCACCGCAGCCTCCGTGGGGGGCATCCCGGGCCGGTGCCTCCACCCCTGCTCCCCGGCCAGCAGACCCGCTCTCCCTGCGGAACCCTCCCTCCTGCAGGCTCCTTCCGCCCGCCCCCCCTCAGGTTTCGTCATGAACAGTCCGGGCCGGGGGCACGTGGACCCGGGTGATGCGAGCGCCCACGGTGGTTTTCGGAGTGGAAGCGTTCGTGTGTTAAATATAGCCTTCTGCGAAGAAGGAAGCTGAAGTTCAGAACAGAAACCGGCGGCTTGCTGGGGAGCTCCCGCGTGCAGGGCTGGTGGGCACAGACAGGTCCTAAAGCAAGCCCGTCAAACCCACAGGCTCACACGGGCCAAACAAACAGGTGTCAGTGGACGTGGCCGCAAAAAAACAAAAGCTTCCATTTTCACAGAAACGTAGGTTTATTCCGACAGAGACATGCTGAACGCAAAGGGCTGGAACAAACGAGTCATCGTTCACATAATAGAACATTGTAATAAAAGTTAATATTTTTTCTTGAACATTCACTTACCAGACACTGAATAACTGCACAAAGGAATAAGCGTCACGCAAATAAACCTATTTTTCTTGTTCTCCGAAAGCGAAATCTTTCCTGTTGCGCACACCCAACAAGTCAGTCCAAGACTAATGGCGTGGCCATCGGCTGCTAAAATATTCGCCGCTAGTGTTAGTGGAGAGAAATGGTGCGCCTGCACGTAAGGCGCGTAAGGGAAATGAATGCAACACAATTATAGTCATCAGTCATTAGCGAACATTGTAGTTTGTTATTGATGTCTAACAGGATATTGTAAAAATTAAGTTATGAAATTTTTATTAAAAAATTTTTTTAAATTCATCCTCACCCGAGGATACTTTTCCATTGATATTTAGGGAGAGTGGAAGAGAGAGGGAAAGAGAGAGAAACATCAATGTGAGAGAGACATATCAATTAGTTGCCTCCTGAATGCGCCCTGACCAGGGCCCGGGCCAGGGAGGAGCCTGCAACTGAGGTACGTGCCCTTGACCGGAATTGAACCCGGGACCCTTCAGTCCGCAGGTCGACACTCTATCCACTGAGCCAGACCAGCCAGGACTTAACATGTTTCTTATGAACCGTTACACTGGCTGGGCCGCATGCGGCCCGCGAGTTTGACATCCTGTTCTAGCGTGTGCCCATCTGCTGCTTGTTGCGCTTGCGCTTGGAGCTGACATCAGGGCTGGTGTCCGCCGTGTCACCCGATCGTGCCAACTGAGGTCCGCCAGGGTCAGGCTGGCGTCCCTGTGTGCGGCCCTCAGCTGATCAGAGAGAAAAGCTCCAACCCCGTAATTTACACAAAATGTACATTTCAGGGAGCCTCATGGCTGGAGGGCTGGGCCCGGGGGGCCGGGGACAGGGTGTGGGCCGCTCGGCATCTGCTGACCCCCCAGCCCTTCCGGCCAGCCCTCCATGTCCGGCCCAGGCCTGTCACCGCCCGTGGAGAATTCTGTCCCCAGCCTTGGTCCTCTGTGCGTGGCGGAAGCGGGACCAGCTGCCCTGGAGGTGGTGGGCACTGGTGTGGGCGTGGGGGCGGCCCCGGCCCTCCCGTCTGTGCCCGTACTGGTTGCTGCGTCGCCCGGCACTGACTGGCCCTGTCCTTGCAGCAGTCCTGTGTCAACTGCGGCCGGGAGGCCCTGAGCGAGTGCACCGGCTGCCACAAGGTCAACTACTGCTCCACCTTCTGCCAGCGCAAGGTAGGCTGCCTCCCCACGGTGGGGGGGGCGGGGGGGGCGGCGGGGGGCTGCTCACCGTGGCCTTCGGCCTTGTGGTCAGCGCCCCAGCCCAGGGCCCCTGTGTCTGTTCCCACCGTTCGGCCTTCCATCGAAGGAGGTTAAACGGGTGTTTTCCCGGGGCCTCGAGGCCGCCTCGCCGGGCCCCGCCTGCTCTCTCCTCGGCCTGTTTGGGGATTTCTACGAAGGAGGCTGGCGGTGGGAGGACGGGCCACACAGCTACGCGTGTCACTCAGCCTCCCCCGGCCAGGGACGCACCCGTGGGGTCCAAGCACTGTCCGTTCTCAGCAGAAGTCCTCGGGTGGGCGACCGAGCAGGGCCGTGTGGGTGTGGCACGTGGCAGGGCAGGGGCTTCCTGGGCCCGGGGCGGGGGGGTGGGGGGAGGCCGGAGCCCGCTCACAGCACCCGTAGGAAGTGAGGGCAGGACAGCACAGAGAACCCGCGCATCTCCGTCGGGAACCCCTTCCGGGTGGCAGGCACCGGCTCCTGTTCCTCCAGGAGTGCGTGTCCAGTGCCTTCCCGTCACGTCACTGGGTACCACACCCTCACCTCACCCTGTGCCAGGCCACATCGGCCTGGAGGGACAGCGTGGCCATCGGCTTCCCTGGCGTCCAGCCTCCTGCAAGCCCTGGTCCAGGCTCCATGCCCACCTGGGGGTGAGGGTGTTGGGGCCTCGCTCATCGCCTTCCCCGTCCTCCCGGGAACCCCAGCCTCCGCCGCCTCCTGGCTCCAGCTTCGGTTTTCATCGTTGCGATTATAAACTGTGCTGTGGCAGCACCATAGATACAAGTATTCCTTTGAAGGGCATTATTTTTTTTAATGTATTTTTATTGATTTCAGAGAGGAAGGGAGAGGGGGAGAGAGACATCAGTGATGAGAGAGAATCATCAATCGGCTGCCTCCTGCACACCCCACGCTGGGGATCCAGCCCGCAACCCAGGCACATGCCCCGACCGAGAATCAACCGGCCTCAGCCACTGAGCCGCACTGGCCGGGCTGCACAGACATGGTTCCGTTAGATCCCTGGACGCCTTCCAGGGTCTCGGTGTCTGAAGGCTCCTCCTGGTTGCTGGCCTGGGCGCTCGTCCCTCAGATGCAGGTGGGCGAGGCTGGGCACACCGCG